TGGACTCTTTTAGAATATTTTGCTGAGTTTACACACCTATAATATTCAATAACGGAACTTAGAAAAAATGGGGTAGACAGATGAATGTCCATTTTGTATCTGTGTATTCAAAATGGTTAGGATAGATATATAGTTGCATTCTCTTAATGAATAGAATCATTTGTTCTAATGGTGTTTGTAAATAGGATCTCAAGTCTGCATCTTGTGCAGCAATTAACCACTAAGAAGAATATATGCAGTGTGTTATTTGTTGAATCTGTACTTCCAATTTGATTTGAAACTGTCTCATTGCTATCTGTTTATCAATAAAATTTTGAAAAAAACAAAAAAGAAGAAGTATAGTAGGCTCTGGCCCAAACAGCTGAGAATTTCATGGGAGAAGCAGAGTAAATCACCTCAGGTAGAAAAACTGTTTAAAACTATTCACATAGTGCTGTGGAGACAGCATGGTGGTCCAAGTGCCTGCCTGGCAAGCTCAAGGACCTGGGTTCAATCCCTGGTACCTCATGCCATGCTGGCCCTAGAACCTCAGACATGCCATGCATGCCCCAATGCTGGGCTTGGTGGTACAAACCTGTAATCCCAGTGCGGGGGAGGCTGAGACAGGAGAATAATTATGAGTCCATCCAAGCTGCATAGTGAGACCCTGTGCCAAATAAATAGATTTGAAAAAAAATGCTCATGTGAAGAGATTCCCATTGTATAGGCAGCTCCACTAGGCATGACCTGTGAGATTATAGGAACAGCTGGAATAACAGGATAGTGAGACAGGAATGAAGGACAAGGAACAAATCCCAAGACATGAACACTGGTAAAGGCACAGAGGTGGACTGGGTGTGGTGTTTCACAAGGCAGAAGACCCCCATCCAGACAGCTGCAGTCCTAGAAGGCCAACTATCCCTGCCAGAAGCCTTGAGAGTTCATACCTTGGTGTTCTTCATTCCTAGCCCCAAATTAGATGCTTTCCAACTCTGGTAGGAGATAAGTCCTAGGTTGCCAGATAATGGTCTTTTGGAATTGATTTCTATATGTTGTTTCCTTTCCAGAGAATGGCCTGGCCTCATGCTATCCAATGCAGTAGTTGCCAGTACTTAGGATGCTGATGGCGCAACTAAGGAAGTGAATTTCTAATTTTATTTAATTCATGTAATTTTTAATTTTAAAATAGAAGCAGTGTGTTTTTTCCAGGAAACCCAATTTGTTTACATTCTACATTAACCATACGTAGGATTTCATTGTTGTAGTATGTATCCATTTTAAAACTTTTAATGTGAATACTAACAAATTCAAAGTGACGTATGTGGTTCACTCATATGAATCTGCCTTTGACAGCACTGGTCTAGACTTTACAGCTCAGTGTGGTCCGGTTGATGGCTTGTGGGAGTCACCCCAGAACTTTAGAGCTCACATTTTAATAATTCCCCCCAAGTGAGTGTCCTGGACAGGAAGAGATGCCCCGATCTATAGCCCTGAGAAGACATGCAAGCCTTTGCTTGGTACTAGTGTGTCCCTCTCCCAACTTAGTCTTCCTGAGGGTTGGGGCAGGAGTGGGGAGGGGGCCTCAGGGAGAACCTGCTGCCACTGTGACATCACAATAAATCCTTGGGTCACCAGCCCCACCTAGCTGCCCAGGCAGAGTCATTTCCATCTCTCCAGCCCACCACACACCACCTTGCCCCTCTGCTGGCGAGAGGAGGCCTGATCCTCTCACTCAACACCCAACTGATTAAGACCCAGCTGAAGAGAAGCTGAGATCTCTTCTGGAAGTTCTACAGTGAATGAACAGTTCCTCTCAACAGACGCACCATGTATGCTTCACCCAGGAGGTAGGTACACTGCCTTTTGAAACCCCACGAATATCACATAAGTGTATAGTAGTGTCCTTAATGATAGGTTTATAATACAGGCTATACCAATGCTTCCATTTAATTTACTTCACTTGTGTACCATGAGGAGCTCACGAACACACTCTAGTGTTACACAAATGGACTGAAAACCTGCTACTCAAGACTGTTATCTGTAAGCCTGGTTTATTCTTGCCTTAGCCGCTTGTTTTCCCCTCTTCTTCCACTCAAGTTTTCCCTTGAAAACTTTCTTCTTCCTTCACTTTTCTTTTTTCCTCACTGTTCCCAGGAGCTGCTTGGCTCTTTTTAACTACAGCTCATCTTTTTTCCTTTTATCTCTAAGATTCCGGTTGCCAAAATCTCGTAATGGCCAGAAATTACAGAGACGTTATCACCCAAGTGAGCTGGAAGAGCCAGCTTCCATCCAGAATGAGGGGAGGAGCGGAGCCTCAGGGTGTCCTCTGGGCTCGCAGAAACTGGCAGGATCTTGAGGGATCCTTCCGCCTCCTTCCATACTAGGAACTACCAACTTTTAGCTCCCAAGATTTTTAAAAAAAAAAACAAGCAAATGGTGTTCAGTCTTCACTTGTCACGGGAAAGAAAAGTGAAGCTTGCGATTAGCCAAGGAACTAGAGCACACACGCGCGCGCGCACACACACACACGAAGCAGCTGGAAATGAGAGTGTGCAGAGGGGAGGACAGCGTAAACTAAGTAAGAGGCACTTCTGAGACTGCAGGACAGAGCCAGTGATTCCGAAGAGCCGTCAGAGTGTGAGCTTAGGCAGCTTCCTGAATTCAGAAGAAGCCCAAAGCGAATAGATGACAAACACCAGACCTCAGACGTAGTTATGAATATGACAGAACAAGCCAGCCGTGACTTGAGAGTAAATTTTATTGTTTTTAATCGCTGGTTTGCTAGAACAGGCACAGAAGACATGGGCGTGTCTGTTGGCTAAAGTGTAGCACACCTAATCCCTGGTCTTAGCCTGCCGGAGTTTCCACAGTGGACTGAGGTCTGAGAATTTTGTTAAAGGTGACCATGCCCACCCTTTCTTGCGGGGCTGGGCAGGTGATGAGTCAGGTGGACAGGGTCAGAAGGTCTTGAACACGGACTGCACCACGTACGCGCTTCGTGGCCTTGAGGGAGTCATGCACTCTGAACCTGAGCCACGGCCGGAACCCTGGAGTTGCTTTCTCTCTCTCAGGCTGGGTGTGAGGACTGGAGACGTTTGTGACGGGTCTAGCCGCATTCCCGGTAGCGGTGCAGGTTCATTTCCCCTACCTTTCCACACACGGCGTTTTCCCTCCACTCTTTCCCCACACTCAACCCTGAAGAGATTAAGCAATTTAGCCAAAGAAGCAACCCAGTGGCCATGAAGTAGTGGGTAGAGCTGAAATCGGATGGGAGTTGTTTTCTCTTAAATAAGGTTCCTTATTTTTAGTGGTGGTGGTGGTGGTGGTGTGGATTGAACCCACGGCCTTCACGCTATGTGAATTTTCTACTCCTTTTTGTATTTTTTTTAAGTTGTAAACTTTGTGACAAGGTTTCCCCAAATTGTTAAATTTGTCACCCTCCTGCTTCAGCTTCCCAAGGTGATGGGACGACAGGCTTATGCCACCGCCCCAGACTGAGGCTCCCTCAGAACACTGCCGGGACCTCTCTACTAGTAGGGAAGGGAAGGTGCAAGGAAATCCCAGACTTCGCAATCGCCGGCACCGCTGCAGCTTTCAGGACCCCCTATCCTGGAGGAAGCCCCTCGGGTCGCAGTTCCCAGCGGGCGGACGCTGCAAGACCGAGGAATAAGCAACAACGGTTCCCCTGCCCCGCCGGGTCTGGAAGTCCAAACGCCCCTAGGGCGGGACTCGCCCAACAATGCTCCACGCTTCCTGGCGCGTCGCTGTGGCAACGCGCACGCGCTGCTAGGCAACCGGGGCGCCGTAGTAAACCCGGAGAGCCCTGATACTCATCCCAGGGGCGAAAGAGGGGAGCAGGCGGGGACACCGCGACAGTCTGGGGAGGGAGTGGAGAGCCAGCAGGAAAGGAAGGGGGTGGCGCTGACAAGCACCTCCTTACTCATCACGCCCTCGGTCTCCAAGGTCCCCAGTCCCAGCCGGGCGCTGTCACCCGCGCGTGAGCGATTGCCCCACAGGATGTGCAGATGTGGCTGCCCCTCTGATTCACTCCAGCTGCTTGGGGCAGGGAAGAAAGGCGGTTTCCTCTCCTGGAAATGATCGCATTAGCAAAAGCCCTTCAACAATTCCATTAAAAAGCGGAAAGGGAAAGGCAAGCTAGAGGCCCCCCAAAATGCTTTCCTTGGGTTCTTTCCGCTAAACAGCTCAAGCGTTAGGAAGACTGGAGCGGCTCTATGTGTGAGCAGGTGGGAGTGCGTGGACCCCTACTACTCGGGATGACTCCAGAATAACGAGCCCGCAGCTAGTTAGGGAAGCTGAAGAGCTAACAGTCCTTTAGTGTCCACAGCAAAGGGTCTCCTAGAGGCTCACTAGGGGCAGAGGTCAACATGCCAGACCTTCCTTCCTTTCCTCGTGAGGTAGGCAAATGTCCCACACTGAAGTAAAAGTGGTCATGAGAGCTGTAAAATCTCAAAAGACTCCAGATGATGTTATCCAAAGGGATCCTCACCGGTAAAAAATCACCCAGCTTGGAAAAGGCCATCACATTTTCAATCTGTCACTGGCTTTTGAGCAATCTGTTTGTCCCTCGTCTCTGTGAGCTAAAGATAATGCTCTTTCATGAGATCATCGCTGTTTTCTGAGCTTTGCTCATCCAAAAGCAGTAACGTTCCCACAGGTGAGAGGAAATGTCCTGGCAGAGAGTCTGTTTGCTGGAACTTGAGAGAGCATCTGTGTGGACAGGCTGAGGGTGTGCCTGGGGACCTATGCACCCTTGCCGGAGCTTCCCATGTCCCTGTGTGTGCGGACTGGGGAGAGTCACGTCAGCGTGGGCCACAGCAGGCTGCTTAAGCAGCGCTCCTTACTCAGATCTTCACCCACAGGCTTTGGATCTGTGTTCATGAGCCTTGTCAGTGTTATAAATTTCATTCCTTGATATTAAAACAGTGCTAGGCTTTGAAGGTCAACCATGAATAAAACCTGGCTGCCCCAGTGGCTAGTAACTTAAAATCAAATGAGCAAAACACACAAGTAAATCCTCAAGTTACAGGAGAGGTGGCCACAGCAGGATGGGCAAGAGCAGAGGACAAAGGCCGTGTCCATCAGAGCTGGTGACAGCCAAAACCTTTAAACCCACTGCAGCCTTTTGTCTACTGAGTAACAGACAAGAGTTCATCAAAGGAACATGGATTGGCAATCTGGCTTCTGGGAGAAGGGCAGAGAAATTATGACCAGGGAGGTTAAACAGGATGATGTCAGAATGGGTGATACGAAGAAAAGAAATAAAAGGGGCCGGAGAGATGGCTCAGTGGAATAAGCGCTTCTCTGGCAAGCGCAAGGGTCTGAGTTCAATCCCCAGTTCTGCCAAAAAAAAAAATAATAATAATAATAATAATAATAATAATAATAAAAGAAAAGAAAAAAGAAAGGAAATAAATACCCTCACTGGCTCCCTTAGCCCCAGACTTGAGGGAAGTAGTATTCTATGCAACCTTCTCTGGCCCTGCACTCCTAACCATTTTTTTTTTAATTTTTTAAATTTTATTTATTTATTTATGTGTGTGTATATGTGTGTGTGTGGCCAGCTCAGCCCACCAGGGGGCGGGGCTGGCTGGCATGTGGTGCTGGGGAATTGAACCGCGGTCCCTTTGCTTTGCTAAGCTTATTTTTTAAGTAGGTGCTTTAGACCACTGGGCCATCTCGCCAGCCCACTCCTAACCATTTTAATTGCCTGTAATCCACAGTGTTCACAACACAATAAACTGAATGTCCATCTACACGGTGTATGTAGGTATCATGAAATCACTCTTTGTCTTCATGCATATCAAGCAGATATGGTAAGTCTGATACAAAGAACAGCAACTAAAGATCTTAGCACATGTGGGTTGTCCCAACTCAGCTTTGTGGTATCACAAATGGTGAGGCACATGCGAATATCCCTGAGGGAGTCATCCTGAAATGGTAAGAGTCCAACATACCAAAGTTAAGTACTGTTTCGAGATGTGGAATCTTTGTGTGTCTGCTGAGTCATGAGCTTCTGAGCCTAGCCTAATTATATTTATGTTACATTGGACTAGCAATTACTTTTTCTCTTCTAAGAAAGGAAAGGGAGGAAAAAAAATATATTAACATGCCCAAATTACAATGAAAGGAAATGAGTAGAATGCTGGATTCTGATTTTTGTGCTCAGGCAGAGAAACTTGTGTTCTGTCAAAAAGAGGAAATTAGACATTGTGGTCCAGGGGGTCCTCTGGGGTGGGGAGACCAAGACTAGTCACAGCCAGCAACCAACCAGCCATGCACCCACAAAAAGATGCACAGCCTCAGAAGAGGTGGACCCGGGCTTTATGGAGGCCTAAAATATTATCACTTAGGAGGCCCTCTGGAAGAAAAATAATGACAAATTACGAGTTTGAATTCAGTAACAGGGTCTTGGAAGCAGCCCAGGCAAGAGGGGAGACCATGGAGCTGAAGTTTCATGAGCTTTGGTGAGTCTACCGCTGGGACTCCTCACGTAGCACGCTTGACTCTGCCACTCCCATCCCCTTTTCCCCGGAGAAGGCAAAACTTGAGGTTGTTAAGGCAGAAGGGGGTGCGGTTTATGAGCAGAGGTAATAAAAACCGAAGGCAGAGGGCTGTGCCAAACTGTGACTCAGAGAGGGATATGAGACGCGGCTGCAAGTATTTGAAGGGTGTAAGCGGGGAGACGGGAGAAGAATTGTTCACTGTTCTAGGGTGGAGAAAGAAGGAGGATACAATTCAGGAGAGAAAAATGTGCACCAAACTCATCAGGAAACATGGGCTAACTATATTTTCTGAAACTGTGGCATTGTATTTCCCCTGGGAAGTA